TGCAGAAAGAGAAATAGGTTTCTATTGACAGTAATAGAAGGGGTCTTGTTAGCTCTGAATGAGAAACATTTAGCATTTAGTGAGAAAATCTTTTCCATACTTTCACTTTTTCTATCAAGTCATAATACCCTCCACCAATTCCTACCCAGAAAATTATATCAAAACTATTTATTCTTTGAAATATGACAAAATGTAGCATATGACCAAGTTTAAAAACTAAATATGTTAAAAGCCTTTAAGTTGAAACTATTTTTAGTCTTGAGAGTTCTGAAAAATCTATAAAAAATCAGTCCCAATTTTAAGATTTTTTGTGTGATACATACACTGAAGATTATATAACACATAAAGAAAAATATTAAATATTACCTAAATGAAAATAAAATATAATGGATAATTCTGGCCATTTCTGCATCATAAGACTAGGGAGGGGGCAAAAAGGAACCACTAAACAAGAAATAAAATACAAGTGCAGTGTCATATTTTAAAAATGAAAACATACATTGTTCCAGTCCCTATTACACGGTTGTCAAATTTGGTGAATTTGGAATATCTTCATTCATCGAATACAACTAGCATATCTGGATATCAGCACAAAAAGTGGAATCAGTAAACTAAAAGTTCAAATCCCAACCTAGTCTGTTGCATTCATTTTGTTACAAATATCCTAAGGGAAAAAGGCATGAAAAGCTTCAACTAGGGGTTAAATAGCAGAGGTAGAGACTAATCTTGGGTAGCTAACCAGTCTATGAAAGAAAACATATTTTAAACCATATAGAAAGGCAACAGAAAAATCACTACATCTTTCACAAATAAGAAATTTGTAAAAAGTCATGAGGGCCTTGATCTTAAAAGAAAAAAAAAAATCATCAAAGAGTAAATATGACTTCTGTTGTTGGAAATATTGTCTGATTAAATACAAGAACAACACCATCTCTAATCTCAGCAAAGGTTTAACCAATGCCAATCCAAAACACGTCATCATTGTGGTGGTGGTGATTAGAAAGACACAGCAGTAAATCTCAAGAAACAAATTCAGAAAATTAACAGCTGACAGGTGATCCCCAAATAACGAATAAACTTGGTAAATTGAAACTAGAAAAATATAGAGTTACACAATAATAAGTGTGACAATGTACTTCAGCTAAAAGCAGCCATCTATATAAGATGGTTAAATAGAAATGGAAGAAAATTAAGAAAATAAAAAAAATAAAAAGTGTGATTATGATATAAACTCTTTACCCATCCATATCTTATTGAATTATTTTTTTATTAATTTTGTTTAACTTCCTACTAGTGTATATAATGTTCATGTAGACATCACTAGAGCTTTGGGGCTAAAAATATGATAGTAATTATGCAAAAGCAAGTAACTTTAAGGAAATTCATTAAAAGTAACAAAAATGTCAATTGACAATAATGACCTCCCGTCGCTATGAACAGCACATCAGGTAGCATTTTTAAAATTACCAAATGTTCAAAGTAAAACAAACTTATGTAACAAGGGAAGGAAATAAAGTAAATAAGACTGCTCAAAAAGAACTGAAAAAGGTAGAGACTTTCCAAAGCTGATTAATCAAACATTGAGAAATAATGTCTGCAGCAGGGATAGTCTCATTAATAACGTCAACAATAAAACAAAATACAATTTATTTAATCAGTAAATGAACACTTGAAAATTATTAGTAAAATTAATTTCTAATGCCTGTTTGGGGGTGGTTCAGACATTGAAAGATGCAATTAGGAAAAAGTTAAAAGTGTTATGTAATTGAATAAATTACAAGTATTTTTGCATCCCCACCTCATCTTCTCTAGCTTGAAGAGAGCAAATTTGTGCTTAGCAAAGTTGTAGTTATATATATATACATATATATATATATATATATATATACACACATACATACATACACTGTAAGTGTTTAGCTGCATAAATAAAAATGAGGATCAGAAAAAAAAAATTTTAACTTTTTAAATTACTTAACTCAAAAATGCTAATAATAATGTTAATTACAAAATGCTACTGACAAATGATGATTAATCAACCTAAAATTGGGATCAGTGAGAAAATATATGGTTTGGGAAGAAACAGTTTGATTGATTGATTGGGATATCATTTTTATGTTGTGATAGAACTATTAGTATCAATCTGAGAACATGTTTACCGAGAAGTAAAGAACAGAAAAAGACAAGATACTGAATTCAAACACTTCAGGAACAGACTTCAGAGAGATAATATTTTAAAAAAAGTTATAATTATGAAACTTAGAATTTAAAATTATGTAGAATTCTCAGATACTTTAATAGTTGCAATTAAAAAATAAAGTAACAACAGGTCTTTATAGTGTCATAGAAAGTAAATTAAAAGTCACTATACAAAATCAACAGTAAATTATAAAAACACTTCATTTAGGTTTCCTTAAGTAAACTGGAAAAAACGTCTACTACATGTAAACATAACTGTTAAGCATATTTTAAAAATATTTTAGAATTTCCAGGTTAAAATTCTTGTCATTTCTCCCCAAAAACCAAAATACTGATATTTGGAATCCAGACAGGCCGAGAACTTGTTCCCATCCTCCATCCCCCAATACAAATAACAGATGGAGTACCAACTTTCCTTCGAAATTTTCCAAGATGATGCATCTTGTTAATCTAAAGATTAAGGGTAAATCCTCAAATGTTTATCAATCTGTTTTAATCATTGGGCTAAACTTCTGAAGCACTCCCACCCTATAATTATTTTCCCAGTTCTGTTTTTATATATTTTTTTTTTCAGTCTTAAATAATTACCAAATATATTCTGCTTTTGATCAAAGGTTATATCTGTAGTTGGAAATTATAGTGATAGAAGTTAGATTTTTTTTTTCCTGCTCGTAGACAAGTTTCCATCATGCTTGTTCACATGAGAATGAAAAGACTTCAAAAGGACAGGCAGCCACTATTGAATAAAAAAAAAAAAAAAAAAAAAAAAAAAAATGGACAGTTAATTACTGGATCTGTAGCAAAATCTACAGATTTGAGTAGATGAGTAGTGACAACAACAAGCAGCAGCTGACTTTAACAATGTAGCAGCATAGTTCAGTAAAGAGCATATCAAAGCAATGAGATGGCAAGACATGGGCAAAAGAGATTTACATTTGAACAAAATTACAAACTTTTATCAAAACAGGTTCATTTTAAGCTCAAAGCGAAAATTGTAAATAAAGACGAGTTGAAGCAAGCCCAACAATGACATGTACACAGAAGAAGCCATACAGCAATACCGCATTGGCTGCTAATTCAAAAGATGCTGACTGTTCCCACAGAAAATTAGATTCTATATTGAATAGCCCAACAAGCAAAATCTTTTAGCTTGGAGCAACCAGTTGTTGTACTAATAACAGGCATATTGAGCATTTCTAAACCAGTTTTTCTTTCACAGCACAATCACTAGGGTTTTTATAGAAAGGGAGAGAGAAAAAGAGTAAGTGTATACTTGTTACCCTCGTCAACATAAATATAAGAGCTTTGGTCATAAGAAATCTTTGTAGCCATTGTTCCATATGCTTTCCTCTTATAAAATGAATCATCCTTTGATCAAGTCTCCACATGGGCATTAACAAAGTATATACAATGCTGTAAATATCTGATGTGAAATAGCTACCAAACCCTCATGTGGAGGGGTTTTTTGTTTCTTTTTTATACTCTATTGATTATTTAACCACTTGTCTATGACAATTGCAAGGTTGTCCAAGTTCGTTTCATTCTTCAAGAAGGAAACTCAGTTCGAAATAAAATAATTTATGATTCTATGAATTACATACAATTAAAGAAGCAGGAATGCAAAAACTTAGATTAGTAATGACAATTTTTTTTATAATACAGGTGGTTTTTATTCGTCTCTCTCTCTCTCTCACGTGTGTGTACATATATAAATAACAATTTTAGATAACTGACAAAATTGAAAAACTTCATGTAACATGAAAAATTCACGTGAAAATTATTTTCCAATTTGTCAGATTTCCCTAATATATATATATATATATATATATATATATATATATATATATATGTGTGTGTGTGTGTGTGTGTGTGTGTAAAAACATACACAAACATTTTAAATACTGTTTACATAGTGAAAAAGAAACTATTTTAAGTGGATCCGGTCATAATATTATTTTATGCTAGAAGTGACTCTGTAAAAGATGGTCCAAGTTCTCTTATACAAATGAGCTTAATATGGAAAACAAACCAAATCACTTAATTCAACTTGAACATTATTGGATAAACTTATTTGAAAGGATAATGACCTTTGCCCCTTGCAGCTGGGTTTGACCTAATTTTTGCTTTGTTTACAAATAAAAGTCACACATTTAAATACAATAAGAAAATAAAATTCTGTTCTATTCCATCATCCTCTGCTAAGAAATAGTACCAATGTTACGACATGAATTAAAGCTTTATACAATGTGCGGCATAAATACCTCCTACATAATGGCAAGACATTAGCAGCAATAGTGTCTTCATCTAGCTAATGCCTTCCCATTATGTAGGAGGTATTTCTGCTATGCTGACTACAAGAGTGACAAAGTTATCACCTGACCAAATTCAAAAAATCTGTTGTTTAATTTTGGAAAATTTTGCCCTGATAATTTTGTTACCTCTTTATATAAAATTTTAATGTAAGTTCAAACACACACACACACACAGAATTGTTCAAAAGCTGTCAATGGTTGTGGTAGCATTAAGTCACATGACTGAGAGAGTTTGAATGTATGGACCTTATTCAACTGTTGATCACACTAGATTATACACTCTTCCAGAAACTAAAGTCCACTCAACACAGTTATAGTATAATCCACAGGTTGGTTCAATGGATGTTGAACAAAACACAAATGTGCCTAAGCAAGTGTCTGCAACAGGGATTAGCTAGCCACCCAAGTCGACTATATTGCTAACCGAGACTGATAGATGCCGCCTCAGACTAATATATATAAATAAATAAAAGTAGGTTTTTTACTTACCTAAATATGTCTGCACTCCGGGCTCTTTGGAATTGTAAAGATAAGATATAGCAATAGACATGTCAAAAAGCTTTGACTCAAAAAGTCTTAACAACCATGATTGTCTTGGTGGGAGAGGCTTTGATTTAAACTTTGCTTTTGAAGATACTAAATGTTTTTGTGGGGAACTAGACTGTCCATTTTCAGACAGACCATTCAATGGCAATGTCAGTGGGCTACATTTAAGATTCAAACTAAGAGTCTTAGGATTTAATCTGGGACTGGAAATAGTCACCATATGAACCGTGTCATCCTGATGGACCTCGCAATCAGAATGAGGATCTTCTAAAGCAACACCAGGATCTTCATCATCTATTGGATCATCATTGTATGACCGGGAATCTTCTTCCTCCTCCTCATCATCATCCTCCTCCATTGGTGAAATCCCAGAGTCTGTTGAGGGATTGTTGGGGCTGTGAAATGACAAGCTACTCTTTATTTGAACTGGTATGCTATCTTCAATCAGGTCATGATTCCCATTGGTCAAGGTAAGCTCTGAATCATTTTCGTTGTTCATGACTGTGTCCTGGCTGTCTTCTCGTGTCCCTTCCTCTAGAATGCATTCATCACAGTGCAGCTGTTCACAATCAGAATCGTCATCTTCAATGTTGCCATTCATCTCATGATGTTTAATTTGAGGAAAACGGTGGACCATTAGATCCTTGGCAACATCTGGTGGTAGGTTTGTAATAAAGGAGCAATCTGTCTGTGAAATTTCCATTCTTATTAGAAATTTAGTGGCTAATCAGTATATCCAGTTAGCTGATTAAGCTAAGTTATGGGATCTTAAGAATTTTTGCAACAAATAACTGGAATGTAAGTGAACCTTTCAACATTTTTTTTAAAGTGAAAATTTTGTTAACATTTTAGAAAAATAATTTTTAATATATATAAAAAAGTATATACAAAGATTTGTACATGGAATCAATGCTAGTAATGTGGTAACTAAGAAGTTTGGAATTTGAGAAAAGAAGCAAAAGGCATAATTAAAATGTGTAAATTTAAGATAAAGCCAGATTCCAAAAACATTGAATTTTTACAGTTTAAGAATTTCTTTTTGGTGGGGATAGAATTTTGCGTAAATTGTAGCAGGTGTGAGTGTGTGATCTGTACTTTGTATATTGAGCCCAAAAATTTAGGTGCAAGTAAAATTTCCAGACTGTTTCTGTTCCCAAGAGGCTGGTTACTTGATGCAGTAACACGCTGCTCGAGCAAAGATGAAAGAAATCTTGACTGAGAGATGCCGACTTTTCCAAGTCAGCCATCCATGGTTGTAGCTGGAAACAGAAAGAAAAAAAAATGTCAATTCCTTTGCATATATTTTTTTTTTAATAACCTGTTATACAAATATTTTTAATTAGTTTATTTCATAAATCTTTTTTACACCTATTCAGTTACAAACATTAAGATACATTTAAGAATTATGAAAGAAATTTAATTATATAACTAGAAAAAAAAAGACTAATAACTTTGAAAGTATTAGAGCAATGTTAAATACAATTGTTACATTGTATAATTTATTAATACTTAAATATTTGCAAAATTGTGCTACCATAGGCAGCAGAGAGCACATGTCAAATAAAAAAAGTTCCATCTCAAAATCCTCTAAATTCCACCAACACGTGTGTGTGTGTGTGTGTATATATATATATATATATATATATACACACATATATATATATATATATATATGTGTGTGTGTGTGTGTGTGTGTGTGTGTGTATATATATATATATGTGCGTGTGTGCATGTCTGAGATATTGGGTTTAAAATAAAAAAAGTAGATTGGATGCATGTTACAGGTAAACCCTTAAATGTTAAAAGGGTAGATGAGACATTTATCAAAGGTAACAGCCTTTAATTTGTTAACCAATAAAGAAATAAATAAAAATAATCTTTGAATAAAAAAAAAAAAAATTACTGTTTACAAAATGCTGGTTTGCTATGGTTCATACTAATTCTGGTAAGAGCCAAAAATGTCAACAAATATGCAGAGGGGTGAAGTTTGTGTAATTAAGTTACCCTGATCAACATACATCTAATAAAGTCTGGAAAGCACAATGGCCAAAACATTGTGATAAAAACAAAGATGAGAACAATATTACACATGTAAATAATGATAACTGATCATTACAGAAATTCAGATATATTAGAACTTTTATACTATTTGAATTGTTTGGACTGTTGTTCTCATCTTTGTTGCCATATTCATGATAATTCAACTGTTGCATGCTCTGGCCTTCTTCAGGTGATTGGAATTTCAAACGGAAACCTTTATTTTGTCCACCATGAATATGCAAAAAAAGATGAGGAGAACAGTCCAAACAGTGTAAATTGTGTAAATAATTACAATACCTCATCTCAGAAATAAGCATATTAGGAGCTTTTTAGTTCAAAAACTTTTCTTTTTGACTTTCACTGATAATGTTAGAGCCACATGCTAACATTAAATCAGAAATGACACGGCTTTCTTTATATGAATTATGTTACTAGTGTACATTCAGGTTTCATTGAATTTTGTCTGCTGAAATAAATGTGCTTGAGTATTTAAAAAATGAATCAAATATTTCTTTTAAATTTACATTATGTAATTGCGAAGCATTTTTACCTGAAATGGATTTGGGGTGGGGGGCAACAATTATGAGTGAAGAGGTATTGGCATAAAGATACTTTAAGAATATTATTAATAAATATATAAAAATATAATTGGAATATTTCTTTAAAATAATTCTTATTGAATTCATGTAATGCACATTTTTTTTAAAAAACCAATTACCACAAGCAATGTCAATATGTTACTAAAAGATTTCTAATGAATATTATTTTTTATAGTTGGCATACTTGAAGGTTTACACATGATTGATTAATGAGCACCAACAGTAGATTGCTTTGTTTCTTTTGTTTTGTTTTTTTTTTATTATATCTACTAAAATATGGTGTTGTCATTTACAAGTGGTTCAACATGAACTTTCCTATTTATTCAAATTGTTTATTAAAAAAAAAAAAAAAAAAAAAAAAAAAAATCAAAAGATTCAAATTTGCTGAATACTGCTTCAAATTCAGTCTGGAGAAAACAAGAGATCAAGTTATCAAATTTTTGTCAATTCCCAAAAGAAAGATATCAGCATGCATGAAAATGGATCCTTTCTATTCATTAGATTGAGTATCATTTGCATATTAAATACATTTTTTGAAGCTGTCTACATAGATAAATTATCTGGCCACTTTGACAGAATCTGTGATGAACTAAATTTCAGTATCATCAAACAATCACCATAACCTTTCAGTTATTTGGTTTTAACGCTTCATCTCCCCCGAATAATGCTTCCAACACTTTATTTAAAAACTAATGTCCATATCTTTCTTATTAACACATTTCGAACAATGTGTCCTCCAGAGGGCATAATGGCTGAAATGTTGTGGTAAAGATGGGGGCATTATTCAAAAGGTAAAAAATGTCATCTCAGAAATTCAGATATTTTGTTCCTCATTAAGATTCTTTCTGTCAATTATTCTGTAATTATTTTAAAGTCCTGGTTGAATTGAAGTCAGTTTTATACCAACAACTTCAAATCAATGATTTAGTTTTTTTTTTTTCAACACTTCTGGTTCTCTCAATTAAAAACCATATATTTTTTATTACTTTAAACATTATTTTTAGTGGATACCCATATTTGAGTTACACTGAAGATTAAAAGCATTTTCAGGATATCAGTGTGATTGGAAAAGTTAAATCTATATATAGTTTATAGCTGAAACTACAATGTATTTGTTACTATTAAAAAAAAAATACAAGGGGGACTTTTATGAGAAAGTTGAAACTGACCATGTCAAACAGGAAATTAAAAAATAAAGTCCTCTAAATGTCAATATTGATGGTGAGGGTGCAAACTAAGTTAGAATCTCTTTCCAAGTAGCAATGGAGCAAAATCAATTAAGAGAAATTTAAAGTACTGCTTCAATGCTTACTGGAGAGAAAGAAAAAATAAAGACACCTGCAACTACTCAGCAAGTTTAAATTCCTTAACAAATTGACCTGAAAACTTTAAGACCATAAAATGTAAAGCCTTCATGAAGTTATTTTGAAACATTTGCATCAGTTTCTTTTTGTTTTTTTTTTAACTTACAAATGTGAGTTATCAATTTCATCACACATACTATTTATTATGCCTCACCCAGGGGTAAATATGACATGGGATTGCTTTAATTGGTTTGTGGGGGGTATGTTAGGGTCAAAACTTGCCATTTCCTTTTTGAGATACCTCAGGCACTGACCCATAACCAAACTTATTTTTAATAAAATAGTGAGGTGGTGGCTGGAAATTGGGTTGCCCCTAGAATTATGCCAATAATTATTAACCCAATTGGAGTTCTATGGTGAGATATCATGTGGATATGAATATCACATGTACATTTACTTCTGGTTATTTAGAAGGCAAGTAGAGAGAGAGAAAAAAAAAATGTTATTTTTGTTCTTAATAGACAAATAATCATGACAATTTGGCAAAAGCAGTTTTGTGCTAAATAAACAGGTTTAGACTTAGAAAAAAAAAAAAAAAGACACCACCAATGCAATCTTTGCACTCTTATATTCAGATTTTATTTGATAATATCACTTTATGGTCACTGACAGACATATGGAAACTATGACCTAAATGGAACCTGCCCATAGCTTAGATCACCTAAAAAGCAAGGTTGACCATGAATGATTTTATCTTGGTTGGGTTTTGTGTGTTTGTGTGTGTGTGTGTGTGTGTATACCCCCAAAAAGAAAAGGAAAGGAAAGAAAAAAAAAAAAAAGCACCGTTTATTTGACTGAATCTGTAAACAAGGTTGGGCTATGTGTCTTTATAATCTGACTTGTTTTGGATAAAGACCTGGCAGATTTCAAGAGCAATGAAATACATCATTTTGAATGTCAGTAGGAAGAAGAGAGGGAGAGGAAAATATATTTTCGCTATAAGATAATGGAGGTTAATCCAAATCCTTAACAGATTTTTTTTTCAAGGCAGTATGAGGAGG